CCAGCTACACTCCTTTCGGATCGTGGAAGCGAGTTCGAAAATTCAATAATGGAGGCGCTATGCTCAATTATGGGTATTGAGCAGAAATTCACAAAAGGCTATTGCCCAAGGGAAAATGGTATCACGGAGAGAGCCAATGGGACAATTGTGAAAATGCTCAGAAAGAAGACTGTTGTACCTGCTGAATGGGATAGGATTCTACCCACGATAGTGTATGCGTACAATGCAGCGCCACACCAAGCAACTGGGGAAAGTCCTCATTTTTTGCTTTATGGCCACGATCCTACGTACCCATCATCCATTATACCGTCTGCGGATTTGTCGCCCTACATGGTAGATTACGACCGTTATAAAACGGAATTCCTTAGTGGTTTACAGGTAGCTCGTGAATATATCACGGAACATACCAATGAGTACCGCGATAGAATGAAAAGAGCCTATGATAAAGAGTGGAACACTCAAAAATCTGCGGAATTTAACGTTGGAGATCGCGTTTACGTGCAAATTCCTGCAGAAAAAGGTAAATCGCGACATCCTAAACTTGTGATTCCCTGGGAAGGACCATTTCGCGTGGTTAGCGCATCACAAAATTCTGCTTTGGTGACATTAATTGGTGAAAATAAGCCACCCAAAGAGATCCAATTTGACCACCTAGTCAAAGTCCCATCACAGATTAGTGATACTCCAGTCAAGGGTTTGACTACTCGCTGCGGAAGACGTGGCAGGCCTACGAAAGTAGCTCCAGAAATCAATAAAATTGCTCCCAAAACATGTTGCAGTATTCATCATTCTATTTTCAGCACCACGTTCTCGTCAACAACTGATGTACGTCATGTCGATTGGCACTGTCCCGGGAAGCTGATGTGTCAAGGATTGGAAGTAGAATGTTCTGCCGAAGCGACTCTACTTGATATCATTCCGAATGCCCCTTTCGGATCTTTGAAATTTTCGTCCCCGTATGATTTAGCTCGTATGTTATCTGTTCTCACTCAGTCCCACATTCCTGAAGCATGGCGGACAGCTAGACTCTTGGATCGTTCATACGACCTAATCACCCCATCCGGACTCGGAATGGCATTAGCATTTTATCAACAGCACTGTATTCACTCGACACTTATATCGGTAGCTGAAGCAGGGAACGTTCTTCTTGAACATCCACCTCGCAGTAATTCGGATCCGAACAATATGGCTGTCGTTGCGGACATCGCGAGAAGATATGCCTCGACTCACCCCTGGACTGACTCGTCTTGGAAGGACCTAAAGCCGAGGAAAAACCTTATCATACTTCCAATCGGATTCGAACATGTGACGGATTGTCTTAAGTCGCAACACCAAACAGCGGTGGTCATGAGGAAACCCGAAGATGTCGAGCCGGAGTGGTTCGCTGAAGAATACTCTTCTATTATACTCTTTAGTCCAGCGGAATTCGCAGGAACTGCAAGATGGCGTGGGGCCTGGACTCTTTTGATGCAGTTAGTCGCTAAGGGCACGGAACTCATCGCGCTGGCCGGACCAAAAAACGACAAGCAATGGAAAAAGTCCTGTGGATATGCTTCGAGATTTATTCGAAGAAACGCTGAAACAGCGACCATCCCTAAAAGATCGCCTTCGATGCCTCCTGCCCTTTCGTTCAGATGAAGAAATGATTGGAGCTGGATTCGCCACGGCCATCTTCGAAGAAGGGAAAGTATTCACGCAAAGTGCGGCTAAACGTTTTTGGAATACAACTATGTTACAACACTCATCATTGTTGAAGTTGTCACCGTTCCGCAGAACCGACGAGCGCACGGCGTATACCGGAGCTGTGCAGCCAGAACGCTACCGCAAGGCCACGTCCGAAAGAAACGGACATCGACGAGGTGGTTATCACCACAGAGGTAGTAGCCGTCCAACACACCAAGGGCCCTCCGCCAGGAACCGAGAAAGTCACGGATACCGCCAAGAATCCGGAGTTCGGAAAGTTCATCACGGTCAGCAAGAGCGTCAGCCGCTCCAACGAATAGGCAACAAATTGTTCAAACTTGTCCCTGTTGACAAGAATCAGTATGATAACCACAACTGCAGAAATAGAGGGCGAGGAGGACGAGGTTCTACGTCCCGCAGGCAATTCTAGGTACGGCGTAGTGGAAACGCCTTTTTCCAGAGGCCCCCCATGTTGTATGTATATGTATCACATTGAATATTGAGGGTTTCGGGCTCGAAACTGACCCCGATGATGAGATCGTAAACGTTGCCAGGTGTGAAATATCCCCGGGTATCGAGGAGTTTGGCCCCAAATCAACGACATCGTAAACGCTGTCTAGAAATATCCGCGGGTACCGAATACCATGTTCGAGCCACGGCCCCCAGTATTCGGACACGCCCCCTTATTGTCTATAAATAGTGATTTGTAATTATAACAGTACTCTACTCTCTATTCGAGTTCTCAACATTCCATTTGTCTCATTGTTATTTCATTTGATTGATTTCTGTTCTAATCTGATAAATATTGTAAATTCTGAAGAGCTCTTCAATCGATTTCGGTGAAACGTATACGTATACCTACTAGACGTGTATTTCGGAATCGAGATACATTACAGAAACGATGCATTCAAGCGAAACTTCCTTAACTCTCTGTAGTCCCTTGTGACCATGAATGAATAAGCTTAACGTTGAAAACTAAATAACGAATAAACTGCGACACGACTAGTAACTTACGAAACGAAAGCCGGAATGAGGAGGGGCCCACCCCGACAGGCGGGGTAAGCATGACCGCTACGCAGCCGCTTCGCGGTCAGTTACCCCGCAGTATCCGTCCCGTCGTCACGGGACCCGCCCTGTTGGCGGTGGTTGCGTTACTACAAAACTCCATGTATGTCCGTGATTTCGACGCGATGTTGCGAGGTGCCCCCCCACCGAGCCACATTGTGCCCACGACCAAGCATCATTTGTAGGGATCGTTTGGTGTTCTGATTATGAATATGACATCCTCTTCTGCGTCAGTGCCAAAAATGAATGCCATGTTCGTAACCAGGACACCATTTGATCCCTGTGTTCTTTTCCTAGTACGGTCGTTCAATTGTTACAATCGTGGAGCGTTCCGATGGGCCAAGTTCCGCCGCAACAATTTTTTTGGTTGGGGCAGTGCAAATGGATAGTGCCAAAAGACAGACGGTAAAAGTGGAAACAGGGAAGGTGATATTGGAAACACGATAATCGCGCGACTCAGTGCGCAATGAACTGAGTGAACAGATGTTATCGCAAAGCAAACATATAGAGACTACACATAACTAGGTGCGGTGAGATACGACTTAGGCGCATGAAAACCCTCGTCCGCAAATGTGCGTGCTGTAATGCAACTTCGGATGAATACCAAAATAATTATGTACAAATCACTAAATAGTAATGTGTGAGTCTGGATCTTAATGCCTCTGAGCCGGGCAGGTGAAGTGCTGGAATTTTACAAGGTTCCTTGTAGATAATTCCACTCACGAAATTGCAATTTCCCCAGGGGAAGGGAGCTTTAGGTGTATCATCCACCTGTTTGGGCAAGAAGTAGACTAAGCATGCATTGAAATAGAAAATGGGCACTATTCAACTATTACAACCCCAAAATCTCAAAATTTTATTTTTCGTCGAAACTTCCTCTATAGGGGTAATTCGGTGCCCTGATTACGAAAATGACATTCATTTTTGGCGCTGGCGCCATTGGCGCCATTGGCGCCAGGGCGCCCAGGGACACCGGGCGCGCCGCGGGCCGCGCGGCTCTGCGGCCCGGGCGGCGCGGCCGCGGGGCGGGCGTCGGCTCCGCGCGCCATCTGGCGCCAGTTGGCGCCACCTTGTCACGACACATGTTTTCACCAAATTCGGTGTAAAGTTCTGTATAGGGGTTATTTGATGTCCTGATTACGAATATGACATTCGTTTTTGACATTACCGCTGTTTACCGCATACTTCCCGCTTTTCTGGGCTCTCTCACCTATACATAGCGCCTTGGGACTAAGCTTAGGGGATAGGGAGACTCGGAATGAGTGAATCAGGCACCGTGTGACGAAGATGGAGCGTGTGAGATCACGTGGTAGAGGGCTCACTCACTGATATCTTTCCTCTCTCCTAAAGCTTAGTCCTGATCGCGATCTAGTCACTAGGAGGGCGCAGACGAAGAGATTAAAGCGCTAAATGGAGCTAGCGCCAAGAATGAATGTCATATTCGTAATCTGGACACCAAATTACCCCTACCCAGAAGTTTACATCGAGTTTGGTGAAAACAACTGTCGTGACAAGGTGACGCCACCTGGCGCCAGATGGCGCCCCCGTTGAAAATGAATGTCATTTTCGTAATCAGGGCACCGAATTACCCCTATAGACAAAGTTTCGACGAAAAATAAAATTTTGAGATTTTGGGGTTGTAATAGTTGAATAGTTGCCTATATTTAACCGTTGGTCTGGTTTGCGAAGTTCTAGAAGGCTTCGCCGCGATGCCTCCTCTTCCCTGACCCACTAGCATTCTAGCCTTAAAGTTTTTATCCATTGTACCTAAACATCGCCTTTCGACGTGCAGACCCTCCCTGACATCAAAAGGGCCATCCTACTAGAAAACCCGCCTCGGTCAGGAGTAGTGTAGCAATTTTCAAGCAAGGAAAAAGATAAAAAAATGGCAAAACAGTCACCTCTGTGGAACCGGAGTTGTTTTGGACGCGGTCACTTCTACGAGCTTGCATCAACTGAATACCATTTAGGTCAGTAATCTTCATCCTTCGCATAAGACAACATTGAAACGATATAACAAAACAATAACAAAAACAAAATGAGGAGAACATCACTGACAAGGAAAGGCTCCCAGGTCGCCATGGCCATTCAAGAACTGCTCCGCCTTCTTCAGGAGGTACAGCTGGAAGGCTTTTTATAGCCTATTTAGCCTAATTCCTGAAGACGCAAGACAGTAAACGCGATCAGGGGCCGATCCTACGACGTTTTGACTGCAAATCCCGACCACTGCCGTTGCGCTGTTTTGCTTCATAACTCCATTCAGAGAATCGTTTAGCAGATTTGGAAGGTAGATTTGAGATCAGCGTTCAAAGGCACATCTAGTGGTATACATCTCTTCTTGAATGGCCATGGCGACCTAAGAGCCTTTCCTTGTGAGTAACAGAATCAATACCAATGACAATGATGCTTGAAGAGTATGAGTTGTTATAGAACGTTTGAAGGATACCAAAGAGCTTCGAAAAGGAAGCTCCCCTGCCCGAAAAATGTGAGACCAGCTCTGACCGCTGAGAAATTTAACCTGTTCTGAGGTCTAGAAAAGAGATCTTGAGTTGACTACCGGTGGTTTTGAAGGGTGTAATTAGGTTCGGCTTCAGGCCGAGGGGCCGGGTCATCTGAAGCCGTCCCCCTGTAGTCAGATTAGCGGTGGTCTACACCAAGTCCGGTCGTTTCTTAAGGTGGGTCCAAGTGTTTAGTGATTTGTGATGCCTTCCTAGAGACATTGGGTCTATGGGACTTTCTTGAAGTTTGAAATGGTGTTTGGGGGGGGGGGGGGGGGGTGAATCGCATTTATCTTTGGCTTTCCAGGCTCCGACGAAGGCGATAAGGCCGAAACGTTAGCCGAGTAAAACGTTCATAATATCTTGGTTGCGGCTCAAGAAACCTCGCTGAAAGTAACTCTCGCAATGCCAAGATTAACCGAGAGTCCAGCATGGACACTGGTGTATGTAGTTGACGGTGTTGAAACGACAACAAGGTCAAGCTTCTCACTTTTTTGTCCTCTTTTCAATTGTGGCATTGCCTTTATCCCTAGACTTACATTAGCACAGCATATTGGTGGCGAAACACTCACAACTATTCATAACTAAAGTGTAGAT